CCGTAACTCTCCGGTAAAATACCCGAATCACTCGGAACCTTTCCGATGTCCGAATATAGTCGTCCAATATATCGATATTTACGTCTCGACCATTTCGAGTCTCCTCGTCATGTCCCCGATCTCATCCGGGACTCCGAACTACCTTCGGTACATCAAATCACATAAACTCATAATACCGATCGTCACCGAACGTTAAGCGTGCGGACCCTATGGGTTCGAGAACTATGTAGACATGGCCGAGACATGTCTCCAGTCAATAACCAATAGCGGAACCTGGATGTTCATATTGGCTCCTACATATTCTACGAAGATCTTTATCGGTCAAACCGCATAACAACATACGTTGTTCCCTTTGTCATCGGTATGTTACTTGCCTGAGATTCGATCGTCGGTATCCCAATACCTAGTTCGATCTCGTTACCGGCAAGTCTATTTACTCGTTCCGTAATGCACTATCCCGCAACTAACTCATTAGTTGCATTGCTTGCAAGGCTTATAGTGATGTGCATTACTGAGAGGGCCCAGAGATACCTCTCCGACAATCGGAGTGACAAATTCTAATCTTGATCTATGCCAACTCAACAAGTACCATCGAGACACCTGTAGAGCACATTTATAATCACCCAGTTAGGTTGTGGCGTTTGGTAGCACACAAAGTGTTCCTCCGGTAATCGGGAGTTACATAATCTGATAGTCATAGGAACATGTATAAGTCATGAAGAAAGCAATAACAGTAAACTAAAACGATCAAGTGCTAAGCTAACGGAATGAGTCAAGTCAATCACATCATTCTCCTAATGATGTGACCCCGTTTATCAAATGACAACTCATGTCTATGGTTAGGAAACATAACCATCTTTGATCAACGAGCTAGTCAAGTAGAGGCATACTAGTGACACTATGTTTGTCTATGTATTCACACATGTATTATATTTCCGGTTAATACAATTCTAGCATGAATAATAAACATTTATCATGAAATAAGAAAATAAATAATAACTTTATTATTGCCTCTAGGTCATATTTCCTTCAGCATGTAGTGTCAGAGAATTTAAAACACCAATGGTAGGTTAGGAAGCGAAACTAAAACCAAGATCGGTTTTTAGTTAAAGTCACACTTTTGTGTTTGTTATTGTGCCTTCTATAAAAATGTAAGTCTCACATGAAAGTAGTGTATAAGAACTCATGCATACTTCTCTGTTAATTAATAAAGTTTGGGTGTGCTTCGCTAGAAAAAAAAAGTAAACAAGATGTACATTTGCCCGCCCCAACATGCGAACCGATTTGGTCCACACCATATGGTGAAACTAGCCCCTGAGCTAGCTAGTTTTGGGAGGTCTAATCCACCGTTGGTATGACCAGGTACACCTCCGAGTTTTAATTTTTTTTCTTTATTAACAAGCGATGTAAGTGTAATTTTAGTTAATAAAGCTAATCATGAAGGTCTTTCCATAAAAATAAAAAAACTAGCCCATACCAAGCAGGCCTTTGTAGGTGCGGATGGTGGGCCACTCACCTGTTTTCAAGTGACAGTTATACCACTAAAAAGGAGAAGACGAGAGTTGGCAGCCCATCCGCCCACCCCTCACAATGCTTCACCTTATACATGTGCTAAGGCTGCCACATAAGCGAAAAATCTGATATGACAAGGTAATTAAGAGAAGATAGATGAGTGTGGTGACTCCAAGAAAAAAACAATGTCATGGGCGTGAACCTAGACAAAACACTTAAATGAGAGAAGCCCACCATTGCATGAAATTTTTTAGTTGCTAAAACATTAAATGAAGGATGCTTATCTATAAGAAGTTAGTATCACCTATGCATTACGGACTTTAATTGCTAAAGAAATTAATGTGCTTAGCACCTCATCTTAGCATCGATACGTTGGAAGTGGCCTAAAATCGGGTCGAGCTCGAGCTCGAGCATGGAAGCGAGGCCATGGTCTGATGCCTCACATCTGCTACGGAGAGGCTTTCTCGCGACGTTGTTCCTGGGCGGCCGTGGATGAAGAGGAGAACGCCGCGGCGGGAGGGAGCCAGGGACGCACATTGACGCCGCCCACCATCGAGGACTTTTCATAGTCTTACAAGAGCCGTACAACTACCCACCCAGATTTAAGGCATGATATTTGTAATTTGAGTTTGTTGCATCAATTATATTAGAGGGGTTCTTTTATAGTTTTTCTGTCAAAAAAAAGAGTCGTACAACTCTCGGCATGTTTCATGGACAGTGGAGAGGCCAAGAAGTACATGGAACAGTCTGCTACAAACCAAATGATCGAGGTGTTTACTTATTACAAACCACGTACACACGCATAGATCAGTCACGCACTTTACATCGCCAACGGATACCAACAACGAAATATGGGCAGCAGGATGGTTGCAAACCTTGCAGCTCCAGCCAACGTAAAAGCACTAGCAGGTGAGGTCGTAATGCCGGGCAAAGCTGCAAACCAGCAATTCTTCTTCTTACCTGAGAAGCATGCGAACTCCACCGAGGCCGGACATGAACGCCAGCGGCACAAATGAAGCGTAGAGAACGCAACGGCGTGCGTGCTCGCTGCCTGCCAAGGCGCCGGACATCCATGCCATCGCAGCGACGGCCTCCGCCAAGCCAGCAGCGCCGGCGGAGACGACGGAGGCGTAGTAGGCGAGCTTGTGGCCGTCGAAGATGCCGGTCGGCGCCTTGTACAGAGCCGCGGCGACCGCCATGCACGCGGTGGTGAAGCCGATGGCGAAGATCAGCCATTCCACTGACCGATGATGGCCCTGCATCCCTGGTCCCGGGTCGAGCTCGCCGACCTCGACGTTGAGCGCCACCTCATCCATTCTTGGACAGATTGCAGTAAACTTGGAGTGGTAAGAAACTGCTTGATTAATTCCCACCATGGGAGCCTGTACCCCGGATATATAACATGAGGCCCCGCTTTAATCAATTGCAGTTTAGTTTGGCGTATGCTACCTTTTGGCGTGTGTATTTGCCAACCGTATGTGTCAGAACGTGAGATCCAAAGATCTACGTACGTACTTCCCCGTCAGTAGACTCAGTACGAGGGAAACTATGCAGAGACAGAGACTATTTGACTGTCCGGCCACCCTCAGGGGTCCTGCCGTGGAGCTATCCGTGGTATGTTCCCACTTCTCGGAAAAACAATGGAGTAATATTTTTGTGTCACCACTCACCACAGATATCACAACGAAGTTCATGAGAAGGTTCCTTTGGTTGGAAGCCGAGGATTGTGGAGTTTCGTATTTTGTACTCCGTCCGCCCTAAAATTTTTATCTTAGATTCGTCTAGATACAGATGTATTTAATACTAAAACGTGACTTGATACATCCGTATTTAGATAAATTTAAGACAAGAATTTTAAGACGAAGGGAGTACTCTAGTAATAACTAACTGGAATGTTGTGGACCGGACCTTGTTTTGACTGTTTAATTCGAAAAAGATTTTTTTTAGGGGAATCCGAAAAAGTTAAATGTATATAAGTTCAATTGGCTAAGACTGTCCGTTTGGTAATATCGTAAGTTAGTACCATGTATATAATATTATGGTATGATACTATCTCCGTAATGTATAGTATCATACGTACATTGCAAGACCTTAATTATTGTCATGTATGACATATAACAAACAATTTTTTTGCGGGCGGAAAAGCATTTCATTAATTGATTATGGTTTTACATTCCTCACTAATGTTAGCGCTAAACAACATAACATTTATTATGATATTGTATCATGATTTATCATTCTTCATTTAATTTTATGTTACCTCTGGCATATATGATACTAGTTATGATACTTCCGCTATAGGAAGCCTAAGCCTGATCATATTTTTTTTTAAAGGGGGAGCAAGCCCCGGCCTCTGCATCAAGCCCCGGCCTCTGCAACAATTTTTTAAAGAACGAACATTTTTTGAATCTTGAGAACATATTTTGAAACGGAGAGAAATTTTGAAAAATTCCGAACAAATTTGGAAGTCCGAACAATTTTTTAAAGCATGAACATTTTTTTGAATCTTGAAAACATATTTTGAAACGGAGAGAAATATTTAAAAATCCCGAACAAATTTGGAAGCGCGAACATTTTTTGAATATGTGAACAAAAAATTGAAATTCAGTACATTTTCTGAATGTCAGAGTTTTGTACTTTTTTGTGTAACGAGAACAAATTTTGAATTTTGAGAACATTTTTCCAAAAACTGAACATTTTTTGGAAACACGAACAAAATTTAAATTTTTGATTTTTTTTAAAGGAAAAGAAGAAAAGAAAAGGAAATAAAAAATAAAATCATAAATATTTTGTAAAACTACAAACATATTCTGAAAAAGAAAAATAAACTTGAAAAAGAAAGTGAAACAAGAAACAAAAAACGAAAAAATGAAAAAGAAACAGAAACGAAAAAAAGAGAAATAAAAAACAATAGAAAGCCAAAAAAGAACCAGAAAGAAACGATACAGGAAAAAAATCCGGTTCAGGGAACCTTCTGGAAGGTTCCCAAAACCGGTTTGGACGCATTATGTATGGGCCGGCCCATTTCTGTCGCTAGCTGCGCTGCCCCCTGTGCGGTCGCTCGACAGTTTGCCGCAGCGAGCGGCGAATAGGATTTTCCCCCAACAACAACACATGTTTTTTTTTTGAGTAACAACAAGAACAACACATTACACACACGTTAGACATCTGCCGTCGAATCCAAGCCCATCTCATCAAGACCGGCCCAACGAGCGGCGCACTACCCCTCCCCTCTCTTCCTTCCGGGCGGCGCGCGCCGCCGTCGCTCGCTCCCACATCGAACCAACCGCCGCACGCGGCCGCGTCAGTGCCGCACCTCTGCCCTAGCCGCCTCTCCCTTCTCCGGGCGGCGCCGGAACTGAAGACGACGACGTCGGCTCGATTCTCCCCAACCAATCTCCGACGATCGCAGCCCGTTTTCTCCGAAATTTCGGGGCCTCGTCGCGCCTCCATCTGCTACCAGGAGGGGCGGCGTCGAGCTCCCCGGGATGTCGTTCCGCGGCCGTGGAGGGAGAGGAGGAGGGAGAGGCGGCCGCGGAGGAAGAGGAGGCAGAGGCTTCGGGGGCGCCAGCTATGACCACCCCGCCAAGCACGCTCCCCATGAGGACTTCCCGGTCAGTCAGCCTCCTCCGCTCCCCACACCTCTCCCCCTTCTCCGTAGTCATCACCTCGACTCGGTCGCCGTGCGGGGTTGGCTGAATTAGTAGGATTCGGGATTCACTTTCTTGGCGCCTCGCCCTTGCAGGAGATCACCCTGCCGGAGATGACCTGCGCCAAGGCGACCAACGAGGAGAAGGCTCTGATACTGTCCACCTTGAAGCTCGATGATTTCATGAGGAATTCTTGCTACTACCTGGAGCCGGATGCCCCCAAGAAAAGTACCACGACTCAACTTGTCATAACTGATATGATATGCTCATTTTCCTCTTGCTGCACAGTATGCTGTATTGCTTTGCTTCTCGATTCTACACTAGTATGTAGCTAGAGGGAGTGTGGGATTTTGCTTCTTTGGAGTAGTTGGCCAGATAATTGGATACAGCAGGGTTATATTGAAGCTTGCCGTTTTTTCAGTTTTCGTATGAATTGACGTATCAGGACTGCTTATGTTACAGAGCAAGCGAGTAACCTCTATTTCTTTCCCTCTAATCTGTGTTTTCCTACTTTCTTTAGCTATGAAAGGCTGGATTTCCAGTGATACATTCCAACCCATTGGCGTATTAACTAGAAGCTCAATAATAAGGGATCCATGAATCCTGATTGTTGATATTTATGGAGAGTTATTTTGTATGCAACTTGATATACTGTTGGCACGGGACACATTTCCTACATCTGTATGGTCTAGAATTAATTTTGTTGTTTGTTTTTCCCATTTTAAATTTGATATTACCACTTGCATCTGTATCTTCGGGGGCTATAAATATAATTAGACTCCTTGCTAGCTCATAGAAACAGTTCAGCATCTTTCCTTGTGAGAATACTCTGGTTTGGTTTCATATCTTCTACAAGTAGCGATTTCTACTTTGTTTCTTTTCTTGAATTCTGTCTGATTACTTTCTTTTTCTGCCTTGGTTTCTTTTCAGAGAATGACGACAAAGAGATCGAAAGATATTCTGATAGGAAGCGTAAAACACAGAGCAAACGGGAAGCTCTTGCATCATACCTCAAACTGATCCCTGCAAATTTTCCTGCAGAACTGCTACATGGTAGTCTTGAAGTACATACCATTTTTTGTTTTCTGCTATGTGGTTGCACCACAATAAACCCTTAATATTATCTCCCTTTCAGGTTCTAAACGAGCACAACCAGTTCAGAAAAAACTTCGGTGGGATAAAGACGCAGGTATGCTATATTTCACAAAATCAAAACATAATTCCCTTGTTGCCTTTTCTGCCGTGAACTTCTGTTTATGCCTATGATATCTTCTTGAATCCTTATTAAGGAAACTGCTTTGTTTGCACCATCCTATTTGTATGTATATTCAAAGTAATGGAACTTAAATGAACACTTCTAGTGTAGATATATTCAGATACTCTGACCCCTTACATGGATCTTGTCATCTTTGTTTGCCAGATAATCAGGCATTTGATATATTCGAGAAACTTGAAGCGAAGCAGAAGGCAAGCCATCATTACCTTTTAGTTTTTTTTAAGCTGCTGCAGTATATCTGGAAGGCATATTTCTATTCAAGATATATTATTACTGGTTTAAAGTCTTACACTCTGTTTGACATTACGGAAATAGGGAGAGGTTATGGCACCATGTTGACTGATATTTGGTAACTGTAGGATGGAGAGGAGAAGACCGAAAAGGAGGGTGATGAGGAGGAGGAGGATGAAGAGGAGGAAGCAGAAGCGGAAGAAAGTTCAGATGACGATTATAATCAGGTTAGTACCATGAAACTTTATGCACTGTGTTTTTCTTCGATGTAGAAAAATGGGTGTTAAAATGTTCATGGTTTTGGCAAAATTGTGTGATGCATGTGTATTCCTTCACATCAACAAATATGAAATGGTTAGACCAGTGATGCATCATTTCTTTGTCTTGCGTATTGTCTAATAGTTTGACTCCCATGGTCTTACTCCGCAGAATATCGAGTTTGATGATGACGATGATGACTGGAACCAGGAGGAGGAAGCACGTAAGTTTCCATTTAATGTTCAATTCATATTACTGCTATGCTACCTCCTTTTCCTTCTGAATCAGTGTTATATGCATTGTAAAGCTTGCTAACAAAAATAATTATTTTCATGTAACAGATGAAGACTGCTATGATTGATGATCGCTAGCTGCTGAAAAGGTTAACCCATTCAACATTTGTTAGGTTTCTTGGTATTCTTCTTCGTTTGTAACTCATTGGGCAATTTTGATGGAAGGTAGTGCGTAATTAGGTAATATCAGATGATTATTCTTCCCGCGTTCAGGAGTTCATTTTGGTCATGGTATTAAGAAATGGAATCCTACGAGAAACTCAGGACCATCTGAATTCTGCAGAGTCCTGTTCTGAATGTTTCTATTGCGGCTGTGCCAGAAAATGCGATTTTATCTGCCCTTTAATTCATAGAGTTGGGTTCACATCCAAAGAAAAAGAAAGAAAATTATGGGACTTGGTTTTCTGTGCATTTCACGGAAGAAACCTGGCAGTTGATGATTTCAAGCTCACATCGTTATGTTTGGCATGTGCTTCGCTCTAGGCCAGGATTCAGAAGTTGAAAGCGTGTTTTGTTCTTTTTCTCCCTAAAAATACATATTCCTTGTGGTGCTTGGATGAGGAAGATGATCATCACATGTGCCATGCAGCTCCTCATACTCGTAGTTCTTCCTCGATCGAACGGCTGTCTGTGGTATGTAAACATTGATGCAGTAGCTAAGAGCAACTCTAACCGATCCCCTCTAATCTCTAATTTAGGCCTCCTTTGGTTCATAGGATAGGAAAATCATAGGAATAGAGAAGTCATAGGAAATGAGATGATATGTATCTCAAATCCTATGAGTAGGAATAGGAAAGGAGATGCCCTTTGATTCACATCATAGGATTTTTTTTCATTGAATCTAGGCTAATATTTATTTTTCTATGAAATGTAAAGGATAGGAAGAATTCCTCAGGAATAGGATTCCCTTCCTACAAACCAAAGGGTCTAAAGGAATTTTTTCTATAGAAATCATATCCTATGAAATTCTTACAAGATTCCTCTAAACAAAGGAGAAGTAAACGACCCGGTATCCTATAGAGGACTACGCTCCTCTAAAAAATGGTAGTTTCTAGCTGATCCCTGATACTTACCAGAGTAAAAACTTTAAACATGAATTCATTTATTTTTGGTCCATTGAGTTAGACTTCACCACTCATCTGATTACATACTCCACCAATTCTTCACTAAGAGAACCAATCCAAAGAAAACTACTACTTCCTCCGTTCCCAAATATTTGTCTTTCTAGCGATTTCAACAAATGACTACATACAAAGTAAAATGAGTGAATCTACACTCTAAAATATGTCTACATACATCCATATATTGTAACCATTTGAAATGTCTAGAAAGACAAATATTTAGGAACGGAGGGAGTAGAAAAATTACACATTTTAATAGAAACACTACTTCCTTAACTGCTCATGTTAATCCGATCAATGCTTTCTCCATCTCTTGATTGACTACATTGTTTCTTTTCCCCATCAGCTTCTCGAGCTTGCACAGTTCTTTCTTCTCTTCCTCTTCAAACTTGAACATTGCATTCTCTATAGCTTCATCTCTAGCAACTAATGCACCAACATCAAGCAAATTTCTTGCTATCAATAGATCAATATATTCTTCCCAATACCAAAATTTGCATCCGTCCTATATACAATTTAAAGCAAACAATGAGTTTCACATTGCGATGAATTTGAAGAACAGCCGTATGAAATGACACTCACTCCGTCCTTTTCGCACTTGAAGAAAACCCATCCGGGGTGTTTCGGCATGCTTGAAACGTGGCGCACCACTAGCCACCAGCAGTGGTCACACTTGATTATCGGCAAAGGCTCGCCAACGAGCTGTTGGGCGAGGGCCGAGCCTGGCCGACGAGCGGACGTTGTTGTGCCGACGGTCGGCCGACATGTGAGATGCGAGCGGTGAGAGGAGGACATACCGAGAGGCAGCGGGTAGAGCTCGAGGTGGATGCCCTGTTCGATCCCCGTCCAATCTCTCCAAAACGCGATTGCGTCGGTGACTAGGTGCGTCGAATCCGGCGACGGCGGCAACAACCGTAGATTTGCCGATCTATAGTCGTCGGTAACGAGAAATCGATCAAATCGAGGTGGGGGACGAGCGCGGCGGGTGC